ATATATTGAATCTCTTCATAAAACAGTCCTGCTATCCCAGGGATTAATTTGTTGACCCTGTGTTGCACTCCTTCTATGACATGTATATCCCTTCTTAGAGACCCAAACTAGACGATACTCAACAGGAAAACAATGTACTCAGAAGAGTAAAAGCAAAGTACTACAAATGTTCATGGTTTGGTCTGAAATAAAAAATGTCCTAGAATATATACTCTAATTTAAATTCTTGCGGGGGAATACTTAATTGAGATACACCAGAATGTGTGACGTCCAAACTAATCTTTGGATAAAGGTGTCTACTACCTATTTACATAATAAATTGAGGTTGATAAATATCTAGACTGTTTCTATTATCATTACTATTAACTATAACCTCAGTTGTACAGGACTAATGCCACAATGTTGAATGACATGTGATGTACAACCCATACATTGTTTAAGACTCAGTATAAAATAGCAATGGCTTTATCAGACGGTGTAATTGTCACTGTTGACAGAAAGCCCAAATCCTTTAAAAACTATTTCCTTGTATCACTGGTTCACTGTGCAGATTGCTGGTTAAACAGATAGAGACTATCTGGTGATTTTTTTTTTAAACTGAGCCTATTCACTCTTGTTTCTGAGCTAATAATTAAGACTGATTGCATCTGATTTGGGATGTTGCAAGTAATATCTTCTCTTTGCAAGCAATAGCTTGACAGCATAGAAATTGGGAATGTGCTACACAGTGAATAACCACTTCTGTACAAGTTCCCTCTTAGAGAAACTCAGGTATGGTAGCATCTGTGGAGAGAAAACAGTTAATGTTTAAATCCAGGGACATACTTCAGAACTGACAGCATGTGGGGAAGTGGGGAAAAAAGGATGGCATTTATCTTGATGACAAAGGGAGGGGGAAGGAAAAGGAGTGCGCTGATAGGTGGAGACAGAGCCCAGCGAGAGAAAGAAAGGAAGGATTATTGGTAGTAAGCCATGGAAGAAGAAAAGCTACATAGGTGTTGATGGGGACTATGAATGGCTGAAAATTAGTTGGCTGTGCTGAAAGTAACCCATTTTTCAGATTTCCAGCATCTACAGTTCTTAATTTTATGCCCTTTTAGATGCATATTTTCTTAGCTGTGTATCAATTTTAAAGTGAACATGCAGTTCAGTAAGCATTGCAAGTGTAGTATTAGCTACAGGGGACCTTAGAGCTTCAAATTGGCACCTGATGCTTGTAAACATTTCAGTCATATTATACCAGGTACTACAGATGTGAGGACATTAGTGTGCACATAGTGGACAACCACCAGACATATACAGATCAGACAGACTTTGGACTTTTTTTAAAGACTTTATTCAGCATGCCAAACTAGTTTAACACCATACATGTTGTTTTGGGTCTGTACAGTGCAGCTAATCTCCTCTCTTAACCTCTCAAACTGAACATGCTTTCAGCAGCTTGAAGGAAGACCCATTCCATCAGTGTTATTTAAAGGGAACACCAGTTTCTTACAAATTGTGTGCTTTTGCTTGAACTCTACAAGTGTCCGATGCTTTGTACAATTCCCTCAAGTCATAAAAATCTACAGGGAGTGATGTGGTATCAGCTGAGTGAGTTTTCACTGACTTCAAAGCTTCTGAATAAATTAGTTGCCTCCAAAAATGCACAAGGCAGAATTGCCCTCGAATACAGCATGACTTGGAGAATAACTAAGGCCATACAGAGCAGGACAAGATGGAAGAGGGAAGAAGGACTTTCAGCAAGAGGCTTTATGCACTCAGGCTGATTGGGGAGCATTTCTCTTACCTGGACCTTAGTGAGAAAAGTATCTGTGGAATGCTTCAGTAAGAACGTCTTCACTGAAATCTATCACGTTAAGGCCACAACTGCAATCTTTGAACATAACAAGGATCACATTGCCAGTGGTTGTAAAGATGACAATGATGATAGTGGAAGCCAGAAGCACAAATATTCAGTTTGGATTCCGTAGACGATACATCAACCTGTTCAAGCAACACATGTGAATCTTGGATCAGAACGTCCAACTGGTGTGTGATGCTACACAGCAAACCATCCAGGTCAGTGCCAGATTTACTGGCAGTAGTCATGGTGAATTCCTCATGTGGCATTCTCCTAGTCAATTATATTTGAACATGACAGCAAACCAAAGCATGGCCGCTGAACAATCAGATCCTTCTGATGACCATACACGGGTGACTTTGGCAGCCACACTGCCACTTGAACTGTAGATAGAACAGAGCATTGGTGAAATGAAATACTGAACGAAAATTGCCAGAACTGCTCTGGTGCAGTATTTGGTAGAATGTGTCAAGATCTGTCGTAGGCCACTACATGGTCCACACCATAATGAAGGAATAACCCTTTCCATCAGTTATTGGGTGAGGAACAAGGAGAACACAATCTATCCAACTTGTTTCTAACCAGGTAGTTTTTTTTTTCAAAAAGACTGAGTCTGATTCTAAGAGGCGCACCAACAGGGTATATTTATAAAACACCTTTTAATATATTTCTCTCTATGCTCAATGCAGCAATGGTCTACAACAAAATTTGTACCTTAACAAAAATATTCGGGAAGATGACTAAAAGCTTGGTCAAAGACAGAAGTTTTAAAAAAACAGCTGAAGAAAACTGGAAAGAGAGGTTTAGAAAGGGAATTGGGGTGCTTAGACCCTTGACAACTGATGAACTGCACAATCAGCAGTGATTGATGCTGCTCAAAAATCGAAAATTGATATCTTAGAGGATATTGCTGCCAGAAAATGTTAATAATCCACCACTGCAGGTGTAGTTAAGGCAGAGATTTTCATATATTTTCTGAAAGCAATACATCATCATATGAGACAGATGGAGATGCAGTGACGCCAAGAAAAGGTACAGCACAAGATTAATTTTGGATTGCACTAACAAAGAATGTAGCCATAAAGGGCCAAATGGACTCCACCTTACAATAAGTCTTTGATTTTGTAGACAGTCCTTGCCCTGTGGCACTATAAACAAACACCCTCAGCTTTAAAAATTGTAATGGATAAAAACAAAATATACAGTATAAGGGAATAAATAAAACTATCATGGCAATTAGTCCTCAGAGCACTAGTCATAAATACCAAGCAGTGAGATGATTCATTCAATTACCTTAAATGAGTATTTCTACTTTTATATCATACGTTACATGGTTACCACCCTTTTCAAAAATGCTGTGCTTCCAACAATGCTAAAAGGAATCTGCTAATATAACTAATCTGTGAACCACAGTGTATTATACTCATCTGACCTCATCGGCTTTGGTTATAGTCACTTGAATAAAACTATTAATCCAAGAAGTTACAACTTCTTCTGCTAAAGTAAAGCTATGTCCATTTAAAACCATATGTCTCCTTAAGAAAGAAAGGGGCTCAAGCTCACTGTGTTTCGGTCAGGGATATTTACAGATAATCAAACCAGTTGTGACTTGAAAGCCAGAAGCTCCCACAACATTTCAAATTGTGCAGTTATAATCAAGTATTGCAACATCTACATGTATGAGATGGATCTTTTCAGTATATTGTAATATACATTGTGCCACAGAAGACATGAAAAGCAAAACAAGAGTTCATACAGCTTTCATAATGGAACGCAACATTCCATACCTGAGATAACAAGGTAGAGCTGGATGAACACAGCAGGCCAAGCAGCATCAGAGGAGCAGGAAGGCTGACGTTTCGGGCCTAGACCCTTCTTCAGAAAATTTTCTT